TAAACTCGTGTCTCCTTGCGGACAATAAAGAGTCTCTACTTGCAGGTACAGATTCTATAATAAGAGTTTGAGGTTTTGTGCAAAAATTCGCGAAGGCGCTGATCGTGTGCTGCAAGCCGACCGGAATTCGTATCTTTCGTTACGTATGGCTTGTATTGTGTCTGACACTTAACTTTAAAAAAACAATAATAAAAAGTTATTAGTTACTGATAAAATGTAACTAAATAAAGTTAAAAAGTTAGGAGTCTAAAATGTAACTAACTTAACTGTTAAGTTAAGATTAATTAACTTTTTAACTTAACTTTTAACTTTTTAATTTAGCACTACCCAACTCTGATAATTATATATATGATATACAATATACATTTTGAATTAAAGTATATTGAATAAACTTAAATAAATTATTAAATATAGTATATAAAATATATTATACAAGAAAAATGAAACAATAATTTATGTATTTAGTATATTAAGAAACATCTTTTTTTTAAAAGCAGTTTTTTTCATTTTGTCAAGCATCTCAGGTGTCATTTTAGATTGCGTACGACTTATTAGATATTCACAGACCTCATTGTCACATAAATCCAATATTTCCACAATCTGTTCGCTGGTACAAGATTTAATAATACGTAACCAGTATTTCATCATCATATTTAAAACGCTGTTTGTCACTACCATTTCGTCGGAATTTACTTGCATCTTTTTTTCCTCATCTGTTTCTAAAATTAATACATATGTTGTCAGACGAAATTGATAATTGTATGTACATTGTTATAATGTAAAAAAATTAAATTACCTACCCATTCTAAGGGAGAAAATTAGAATCACAATAATACAATCTATTCTTATTGGGATATTTACATCGCAATAACGGAAACATAATAATATGCGCATAGCACGGTAAATTATAAAATGTTGCTGAAGTCGATATACATTGTGTAAGTGGATATTAATTGACTTCTTATACGGTTCCAATATCCTGTACATAATATCCATCAACTTCAAAAACTTTTCGTCATTCTCATAGTCCTCAAACGTAAGTAAACCAGTCTTCATTACACCAATTAGCACTTCCAGCCAATGTTCGATGAATTTTAATTCGGAGAAAGTCGTTTTTCCCTCTGGTATTACCTGTACGAATGATTCCAACAGGGCAGAAAACAAGTCGTCTATCTTAAACAGTTTCTCCAACAGACTTATCTCAGATATAGATTGAAGCAAATTCATTGTGTCTCTTAATAAGTCATCTGCAATAAAGATTTTAAGATTACATTAACTAGGTTTCTTCTACAATATAATATAGTGCATTAGCATACCATTAGTTGAACTCTTTAATATAAAAGTTATAGTAGCTCCAAAAAATTCATATTCCGTAAGATGAGCTATCCAATTCGATTGAGGATTTTGCTGGATTTTCAATGCAATTAATATTAAAATGTTGATAAGTTGAATCAATATTGACGAGTCGCTAGATTCTAGATAGCTCAGAATTTGTATAACTAATTCATGGTCGCATCCTATTGTATCAATAGCTTTATCATTTCGGCATATATTGCGAATGACAGTTAAGACTAGTTCCTAAAAATATATTTTGATATTGAGAGAGAGAGAGAGAGAGAGATATGATCAAAAATTGTTGTTAAAGTAGAACTACATCAAAAACGTCATGATAAAAATAAATAAATCCTACAGTGGATTCTGATTCGTCAGAAATCGCCAGTAAGTGCTTTATTATCTGAAGAAAATCCTGTGACAAAAGATACGACAATACTTCTCCATCCAACAATAAATGCGATAAAGTATCAAGCTCATCCATTACTTCTTCTGTCCAGCCATTTTCGTCAACCTGAAATAAGTTATATTATTTTTATCTTTTATTATGGACACCATGCTAAGGATACATTCCCTTTATATCCTCATATATATTTTAGACATTGCTCACACTATTTCCTCTACAGTGTGAGACCTGTATTATAAATAATTATCAGGATAATTTTTATAAGAAATTACCTTAAGTAAAGACATCAAAGTATTGATTATCCATTTGCTACTGCAGAGGTTGTTACCCACAGCATCGCCTTTTAATATTTCTAACTCCTCTTTACTAACATCCTGTGAATCTATCATTCCAGAAGTTCTGTGTGTACCTTTAACATTTTTATATAATTTGCAAATGAATGATACCAAACTTATCGTTTGCATGTACGTAAAAATATAAAATTTAGTAATTCTACACATAAATAAGTATAAATGATATTTTAGGTTAGATTTTAGGAATCAAATTGTTATAATTTTACTAATTACCTCAGTACGAAACAGTTATGAAAAAAGAATCGAAGTATTTTGCACGAGAAGAGATCGTCAATTTTCGATAATATTAAAGTTTTAATTGAAATTACAATACTATACATAGACTTAACAAACTAATTTGTTAAGTCTATGATACTATTAAAGTATACACATACTGTTGTAAAATGTAAGAGAATGAGCGAGTTCAAGCCGGCAAAGCGGCTAGATACGCTTAAGCCCAAGACACAATGCGAATTGCGAGAGAATAGCGATAGCGATAAGTTTCAACTTATCAGAAATCGAATACACCGGAATACACATTTTTGATAGATTCAACTCGTTATCGCTATTCTCTCGCACCAGTCGCACCTCGCATTGGGCTTAAGCTTGCCGAGCGATCGAGTATGATTGGTTGGATCGTTGGATCTATAAGTAATAACCAATTATGTTCAATCGCTCGGCAAACGTACTACCTAGCTGTTTTGCTGTCTTGAATTCGCCCAATGATTCGTTCACCCGATGTACGAATTGTACCATTTTAATCACTAAACTATATATACACTGGAATAGGCATCGAGGAAAATTCGTGGCCGTTTTTGATCAGCCGCCATTTTGGCTGGGTCAGATAACTGAGCGAATCAGAAGCGTTCGCGCGCGCGTTGCGATCGATATAACTTACCGAAAAGACTGAAGGACAAGCTGAAGCTTTTAATATATGGCTGCTTACTGTAGTAACGTAATCACTTTTAAGGAAATGGTTGGGTGTACTTCCGATTAGGTCCCACCCCCGATTTCAACGGAACTAGAGTATATTTACGTATTTTGATGCGCTGATTACGAATATGACCATGAAAATTGGCGACAAGGTCATTTTCAAGGTCAAAACTGAAAAAAAAAACGCGTTTTTTTCTGTTTTTCGCATTTATTTTCAAAAATACAAATCGAATGAAAAAATGTTTCAAACAAAAAAGATAGAGGATCAAATTCTCTACAAAAGAGGGTATATGCATTTTTTTTGTAGTATCAACGGTAATGCCGTAAATGAAGGATGAACATGGGAATAATCGGCTTGGCGTGTCCCATTTCAAACCTAACCCATTCAGTGGTGTGAGATAGCTCTCGTTTCGCGTAGAAAGTGGAAATCCACGTGCAATAGTACAGGCATGTGACTTTCTATGCGAAAAGTCGAAAACACTTCCATGATTGTACTGTTGCACGTGGGTTTCGACTTTCTACGCGAAACGAGAGCTATCTCACACCACTAAATGGGTTGGGTTTACAAAAAAATGCATATACCCTTTTTTGTAGACAATTTGATCCTCTATCTTTTTTGTTTGAAACATTTTTTCATCCGATTTGTATTTTTGAAAATAAATGCGAAAAACAGAAAAAAAACGCGTTTTTTCAGTTTTGACCTTGAAAATGACCTTGTCGCCAATTTTCATGGTCATATTCGTAATCAGCGCATCAAAATACGTAAATATACGCTAGTACCGTTGAAATCGGGGGTGGGACCTAATCGGAAGTTTATCCAATGGTTTGAACACAAAACAGATTGTTTATTCTGTTTGAATCTTTCACGTTCACAGTTATGTTTTTCCAAATACGCATGAATTTGATCAATCCACGATTGATATAGATTTTGGTCTCTAAATAATGGAAATCTAGATGGACGTGAATGGTATATAAACAAAAATGTCACTTCAATTTTTTTTATATATTAGTACATTCAATAAAATAACTTTAATAACACTTCATATTCTACATCGTTAACACATACGCAGGAATTGATATATTTATTAAAAAATTCTTACCTATGAAATGAAAGGCCCTTTTTACTTCTCTGCTTACACCCAAGCACAGTGCACACAGCATTTCATGTTGATGCTTTGTATAGACACGCGATTTTATAATCCTTTAAAAATAACCTCACACACAATAATCTTGCTGATATTTGCACACAGAACATACATAAAGAATTTGCGTCTTAAGTCTGTGGTCAAAGTTTCGCTACAAAATGCTTTGAAGCATTTGATGGATCAACCAGAGGATAGAATTTTACAAATTAATCAATTAAAAAACGCTTTAAAGTTTAAAGCATTTATAGCATTGCATTGACCATACCTTTGCTAAACAACTCTCGTAATCGTAAATGCGCATGAGCATCTGAAAGCTTCTGATTCGCTCAATTATCTGACCCAGCCAAAATGGCTGATCGAAACCGACTACGATTTTCTATGCCTCACAACGGAGATGCCCATTCCAGTGTATATATAGTTCAGTGATTTTAATGCGCTATATTATTGCCTATTATTGCTTATAATGCCTATTATTAGTCCTACTTGATCCGGTCTTGCGGTTATTTTATTTTTAACAATATTGCAATCATTTGAATTTTGAATAATAAATCAGGCATGATCTTTTATACTAATCTAACATTTGGTTGTAAATTCCTGTCCTTGTGAAAAATAAAACAATTTTATAAGGAAATAAAAAAAAACAAATAGAAAAAATATAATAGGAACACAATCAATGAAAAATTACCTTTAAAACCGTAATCACACTACGGGTTGCGCGCTCTGTTGCGATTGAGATTACGGTTGGAAACTAATCAATCAGAGCAGAGCATGCTCTAGTGTCATTAGTAGTGTGATTACGGCTTTAGGGGATCCTTAATAGGCCTTCTACAATAAGCCATTACCTAAGTTTTAAGTTTAAGTCATAAGAAATTGACCACTCACAGTCGATTATTCTTCTCGTATTCGATTGTGATTGGTAAATTTCTTATGATTTAACTCTTAAAACTTAAGTAATGGCTTATTGTAGAAGGCCCATAAGACATCTTATATACAGACGATTACGTGTCATTGACACGCTATCGAAAGATATGGCAATAATGTACATACATAAACACGTCATACGCCGATACGCCAAAGTTTGTGCGTTATTTACGTCTACAACTTAAGTATGTCGTAAAATGTTACGGCAGTGTTTGTGCTCACACCCTAATGGACCTTCTACAATAAGTCATAAGTCACAAATCATAAGTCATAAAAGCTAGAAATGGACCAATCACAGTCGTCAATTTTTAGTTTCTTACTTCCGATTTATTAGTGACCCTCTAATAAGAGTTTAAATGTCGGACCAATCACAAACCGGGGAGAAGGTGGCCAGACTCTTATTAGAGGGTCACTACGATTTATGACTTATGGCTTATTGTAGAAAGCCCTCCAATCACAGTCGTCAATTTTTAGTTTCTTACTTCCGATTTATGACTTATGGTTTATTGTAGAAAGCCCATAAAACAAATGTTGTTACGACGTGCAACGACGTAACAGCTCTAGAGCGCCATATTGGACTAAAAAATGGTAAAGAAGAACTCAATTTTGAAATTTTTTATCGTTTTCAACATAGATTCTACCTCACAAACACGTATTAATGCGTATACTTTAATTCTGTAAAAGGATTTTCGAATCTGTGAATGACAAAAAAAGTACTTACGATACAAAAATTATACGATTTAGTCGGTAATACAGGAGGCTTTAGGATCCCCTTAAAGGTGCCTACAGACCAGAGCGGCGAGCGATAGCCAATGAGAGCCATGCTTTTACGCAAAAGCATGGCTCTCATGGGCTATTGCCGCTTCACCGCTGCGCCGCTCTGGTCTGTAGGCTCCTTAACAGTCGAGTTGAATCTGAGGTATTATTATAATTTCGTGTGAATTTATATATTACGTATGTAATCTTTTAAATCGCTCGCCAAACAATTTTCTGTTTCGAAACACTACAAAATTACCGCAATAATATCATTAGTTAAATTATCTACCAATTTAATCAATTTGATGTTCGGCGCGCGGTTTAAAAGACTACATACGTAATATATAAATTCACACGAAATTATAATAGCACCTAAAATCAAGCACAACCGTTAAAGGCAATTTCTCATTGGTTGTGTTTCTCACATGTATGGTCCTATAAGAGAGAGAGAGAGAGATTTAGAAATATCAAATAAATTTATAAAAAAAGGTATCAAACAAATTTTTAAATCTTATTTTCAAAGGACGAGGACTATGAATTCCTTACCAATCTTTTCCATAATTTAAGTTTTTTCTAAACATTTAATTTTCAACATTTTACATTATCTTCTGATTGTTTAACATTAAGTCTAGTTAAATATTAAAACTGATTTATGTATAGACATATTACTATCTTATTATTTAAAATTCATTCTTTTTTCTGATATATAATAAAATTATTTTAAAATATTAGCAACAGATATTGTATATACTTAGTAAAAATACTTGATAAAAATACATTTTTATTTCATATTTAGATATCGACAGTTAAAGAATGCATCGCTTATTTGTTAATACAACGCAAAAAAGAACATTTTCCAAAGAATGTTTTAATTTCAATGTTTTCAATCATTAAAATTTTGTAATATATGAATTTTTGAAATGCAATTTTGATACAATCATTGTTTGTACAGGAATAAAAGTATATTCTTTGAAAGTATATTATATTTTAAAGTATGTATATATTTTTTCTTCTTTTTAAATTTCCATATTCTTTTTGTGCAAATGACATTTTTATATTTATACCATTATTGTAGCAAATAAGCAACATAATGTTAAATTTTCATGAGTTTGTAAATTCAATAAGCATTACATGATAAATATTATAGTCAAGAGTTTGTAACATTCACATATATAATACATAGATTTATAAAATTTATAAATATTATGTTTCTCAACTTTTCGGCTTTATATAAGTTAAAAATTAATTTATTTAAAACACACACCTTCAAAATATATTTTTTACCAACGAGAAGAGCGTAATAATTTATTACTTATACGCGTTACATACACACACAGATCCATTATCATTAAAAATATATTAGAAAATATATTTAATTTTAAGATATGTTAATTATGAAATAAATTGTTCTCTGTATTTTGAATTACAGAGCGATCATGTATGCGTGATGTTTACATCTTGTATATGATGTCACACTTTGTAAATATAAATGTGTACATATACAAGCAGATGAAAGAGAGTATTGGTATTTAACATTATTTTATATTATGGTAATACAAACAGTATTACAGGATATTTTGTAGAATCTCTATCGGCACTTGCATTGTTTGATCGTCGACAAGAACAATATCAAAGTTTTCCATATATGAATTTAAGCTAGCCTCCACCTAGGGAACAAAAGAAATTAGTGGTTATACCAAATATTTTACAATCGACCAATGCAAGTACTTACATGCTCGTAAAGGAATCCAATTTTCAGGACTGCCTTAGTGTCTTCTATTCCGTCTACCATGTTAGCATCACCAATTGTGTCACCCATTAGCAATATATTCGGTCTTTTTTGAAACACCTTCAGATAATTTTTTTCCATTGCACACTCATTCTTGTTATATACATGTATGGGCATGTCGTTCTTAAATCCATCCAATTGATTTCCATTATACTTGAGAAAGTTGGAGAATATTTTTACATTATCAAAGAGAGCATTATGGTATCTCAACACAGCTTCCACTATGTCTCCCAAACCAGCGCTAAATATAATAACTGGCACTTCCACGTTGTACAGCTTTTCAAAAAATTCTTCTGTACCATCGCGCAATATGTTGTCAAATGTTTGAGCTACTTCCTCTAATTCATGAGGATCAAACTCAATGCCTTTCAGTAAATTTTGTGCAGCATTCATCCAATCACGCATAGCATTTGCTTTTTTATTCACAGGCATTTCTGGGTCTATCTCTATAGGTCTGTATTTGTCGTATAAATCTTTAGCTTTGTCCAAATATTGTTGTGGTAATTGCTTGCATTTTCTGAACATACCTAAAATTTAATTTTAATGTTAAGTTATCACATAGTTTAATAGAAATTGATTAATCATGATAAATATGTGTTTAAATCTTAATTCTAGGTAATTTGCAAACTTAAGGAAAATCATAAATGCAAATTTATAAATTCATGATAAGAGACCAACTTTCTCTACTTTTTTAACACAATAAATTAAATTATTTACTTACCAAAGCTACTGAGTACATGTCTGCCGTCTATGTGTTGCTTTGTAATGGTTAAGTCGAAATCCGTGACTATCTGCACAGATATAACTGTAGATCAATCAAACGCCGAATCAAAAGCTTAATACTTACAAGAACTAAATGAAAATAGGAGTACGTACCTGTAGATTATTTACGCCACCTTGCCGAAATGCATTTATCGTTTTCAGAACCGTGACCTCGTCCCTGACGTAAACATGTTTTGACTTCAAAACGGCAAACTGCAAATGAAGAATATATTTCGCAATGTCGCTCGAAAAACAGACCACGTCATTGATGGGAGCGACTTGCTCACCTTGTCGATTGTCAGTTCGTTGCTCATCGTTGTTGGTGGCGAGGAGTCACAGGCAGATTCCAAAAATCCGAAACAACCGGACACTCGCAACTTCTTCGTGCTGAGTGCCAACTGCCAACGTGCGCTGCACGTTGCTGCGAAACCTGCCAACCAACCACGATGGAGTGCGCATGCCAAGCCCATCGCTCGTATACTGCGTGTATTTCGTAATACACATTTCTTTTTTTGTCGAACCATTCGATTTTATTTTATGCGAATCGAGATTGTGATGCCTGCCTATAGAAACAAAAATTTATCTAATGGATTTCTGATTAAACAATTTTTAATTTACGAACTCGTAAAGATTGTACAAGAAATATATAAACTACAAGTTAAATATACACATTATAAAATTTAAAAAATTAACAGCAAATTAGGTGTCGAAAGGAAGAGAACGAGGCGGAAGATCTTTTATTATGTCTGAAGGTAACAAGTTAAATAAAAAGGATAAGGTCAAACTTAATGGAATGACATAATAGTGGAAAAGTATAAGAAATTGTGATAAACGAAATCAGAATGAAATTCCAAATTTAAATTTAAAATATTTATGTTTACGTTTTCTCGAGTTGATTTGTTAAAAGAGAAGAAAGTGAAATTCGGACGATCGAATGTTTTAACAAGGCTTTATTAATTTATAGGTTTTAATTTATTTGATCTTTTTGTAATTATAGAATTAATTTGTCGGCATTTTATACTTTATAATTATGTTGATTGCGATCGCCTAAATTAAATAGTTTAAAACGATATAAATGCAATTCGAAACGCAATTGGACGATTATAGAGTTAAGAAATATCTGCACTTCGAAGTTTTAGAAATTTCTAATAATTAATATACAGATAAACTTTAATCTTGCTTTGTTATCTTTTCCTAATTTTAACAATTATAAAGATAAAGAATAGAAATCACACTAGATAAAGTGTGTACATCGATTGAAATGAATAATAAAAAAGATTATGTGATCACGTTTAAAGATACTTTATCAATTTTGAATGTATACTGTTGAGTAATTTTCGGTTTAAAACGGGAATTATGTAGCATAGTATAAATAAGAAAATGATAAGAATAATATTAATGAGTACCTTTTTGATCAAAATAATTGGATTTAAAATAGTTTTTCTTTCATCTTTCGCCCGTATAATAAAATTATACTGCGTGTAGGGGAGAGTGGGGCTAGTTGTAACATTTTTTGTAAAACAGGCTCAGATTTTTTATTACTTTGAAATTAATAAATTATGAATAGTTAGTTTTAAACTATGATTTCTTAGACTTAAAATATTATACACAGATGTAAAAGATATTTTTCTTTTAACTACATAATTTTAGATTTTATTATATTTCGTAGATGTTATTTTTAACCCCGGATCTGGGGTTAAAAGTAACACCATTCGGATAAGTAATAATATCAAACACTACATATAATATGTAGATACATTATTTGTTACTCAAAGGTAAATGTATAAAAACCGAGACCAAAATTACAAAAAATTGTGAAGTTTATTTACGTGTATTTTTCAATTTGCACATACGCCCGACGATGATGCGTGCGCTTCTGATTGTCATTAAACAATAAATGGTGCCACTATATAGACTTTTGTCTTTATCTATAATTTCATATCATGTTTATAACATTTTTTTATTTAAGTGTTACTACTTACCCCTGTTACTTTTAGCCCCAGTCTCCCCTACTGTTTGCGTTATCTTGGATCTCCTTCTTCTTTTTCTTTATATCCTCACACGGATTTATGTTCCACTTCAGTGCATCAAATTACCATGATTTAATAGATCATGAATTCATAGTGACTAAATATCCTCGAAGACAATTAAAGGAGACTCCGCTTTTTTTATTCTTTTAGATCAATCACGTGTTATGAGTTCAAATTTGATTCTAGCGCTATATCGCTATCTTTCGATTCCATATATTGTCCACTTTCATTATCCTTTTCTTCTTTAGCAACAGAAAAAATGGGATTTCCTTGAATTTTGAAATCAGTACTCTCCAGGCATTGATTCTGTATCGACTTTTCTATTTTCGATTAGAAAAATGTATAATAAAAAGTGCGAGAATTTTTTTCATTTGAGTTTATAAAAAAATTTTGATCTCTGACCTAAAGAAAAGGGAATGGTTCAGAATGCATATAAACCTTTTAATAAATATTCTATTGATTTCACGAAGGTGGTGAATGAGTATAACATTATTTACTGAAAATGAACAAAATATTAATATTAATACGAACATAATTAAATGAATGGAAAACAACTCCACAAATAGACAAGAACCGCAAAAAGAAAAGAAAGAAATGCAGAGAGAAAGAAAATTAATTTAATACAAAAAATCAATTAAAATTTAAAAATAAAAAAGAATGTTTATTAAGAATATCGTAATTTTTTATATAGATTTCGAACATTTTGATTGATTACTTCATCCTCTATTATGATTTTTTCCATTCTGTTTTTCCTACATGAAAACTCTCAAATTTCTGAAAATTCGCCCTTCATGAGCATCAGGACATCCAACGTAATTCCTCCAAGAAGGCGTGGAAACCTAAAATTCCTAAAACCTATTTTTCTTCCCACACCCCCCAAGACTGAACTTTTTGCACAGTTTCTTCTTTTTCTTTTCATATTGAAAAGAGAGAAAATGACAAAAGATGAACCGTGCAAAAAGTTAAGCTTATAGGATAGGAAAAGAATAGATCTCTATTTGTTATTCGAAAACTGTTCTGCGTCAACAAAGTTTCCCGTCAAGGAAACAAAGGAAAAAGTAAACGCATGTATACATACTCGCGTAACATAATCACGAATTATAAATTATGAGCATCACATTTTTTCGATTTTCTTCTTGATTAAATTACCTCAAAAAGGTAATGCAGACATGTGGTAGCCGGCGGCGCGCGCACGCGCGCCTAACTTCTCGCGCAATGACGTCAGCGGCAAAGTTCGGACGGAAGAGGCAGGGTGGGGAAAGAGATATCGGACGGTCATCGGCGATGGCGGCGGTGACCGAATGCGGCCGAGGAGTGGCCAGCGAAGCGGAGCAGATGGGAGCAGAGGAGGGGTGCGCGGAGTCGCACACGTGTGCGCGCGCGCGCGCGCTCGCGCAAGTGTGTGTGGCTCCTTTGGCGCGGCCGTGGCGGTGCGGTTACTGGTGTGTGCGGTGCTGCTGCTGCTGGTGGTGCGGACCGTGGAGCGGCCGGAGCGGTCTGGCCCGGAGTGTGTCAGTCGGCTGGTGAGTCCTGTCGGTGTTGCTCGGTAGACGGTGTGCGGGTATATGACACTGCTGCGGCAGCGGCGAGCTGATAGCGAGCCGATAGCGCAAACCGTGAATCAGTTCGGTATAGTCGACGGGGAGCAGAGGGTGCGGTGTCGTCAGTGGATCTTGCTGTTCCATCTCATCGCCGTCGGTGGCGGCGAGTCTGTTGATTGAACACTACTGGTCCATGTGCTCCGCTGACTAAAATGCTCATCAAGGAATTGTAAGTGCAGCGCAGGACGGAGAGGGGGGGTGGAGGAAAAGGATGACAACGGCGATGATGACGGGGATCGTATGTAGCGGGGGCTGTCAGGTGCGCGCCGCGCGGCACGGATTTCCGAAATTTGCTCCCCGCCATGGCCAACGGGGGCCAGCGCAGCGAAATTTAAGACCGATCGACACTCGGAGCATGATGACTCGTGATCTTTAACGTGGCTGATGGTGGAGGAAGAGGGAAAGAGGGTTGAAGAAAAAGAGATAGAGCGAGAGGGATGGTGGCCCTTTCATCCCTCACCGCATGATTTCAGAGGTTGCACTTTCTGCACCTCTCTCTCTCTCTCTCTCTCTCTCTCTCTCTCTCTCTCTCTCTCTCTCTCTCTCTCTCTCTCTCTCTCTCTCGCGCGCGCTGAAGCTTCAAGTTACGATAGTTTCTAATCATCAGTGGCAAGTGCGAGAAAAGTGCAGCTTACCAAGAATCCCTGCTGACCTTAGACTTCTTCGGCGACGACCGTCCGTCGCAGATCGACATATGCGTTCGGTCATAAATCTCACAAATTTATTGATCAGCTTTGATTTCTCATGTAATAATTAAGATCGGCCGGGCGATACGTGCATCTTGCCGCAACGCGTCCCCTCTCCATCCTGTGATTCAAGGACTGGTTACGTTATTCGTTGATTTTCTTCTCCTTGTCTTTCAATATGTAAGACTGACATAATTTATTATTTGTCTGTTACAGCCGTGTCACTCTACCCCTCACAGTGGAAGAGGTACGTGTCTGAACTGTCGTAGGAGTCCTGCTCCTTGCAATGACTCGCTTTGATCTGTCTGGATATTAGATTGCAAAAACAGACAGTTGAAATTAATTTTATCATTGCCATGTAATCAAGAAAATTCACCAATCATCTAATTATCCTCTGTGTGGCACATGTGCCTATCTGAATACTTATATAGAGTTATCTTGCATAAACAATGATGAATTTGTAATTAGAAACCTTTTTTTATCACACAAACACAAAAGTTTATTATTATCTATTACTGTTTAAACTATTGTTTCTATTTTTTCCATTCGTTATCTATTTATCTCAAGTGATATTCAAGAGAGATACATCTTAATAATGATTATTATTTTATTTCAAATACCAATTCTAAAAATAAATTTACATTACGATGGACTTTAAATCCTTTCTTTTTTTTTTTTCTGATGAATTAAAATAGAAACTTAAACCCAAAGAATGAATAATCTCACAAAACAAGTCAAAGTACACATATAAATTATATCTACGAGAGACTCGTGGTATAAATTATATAACAACTTTAACCTACCTTGAAAGTTATCAAGAATCTATACATTATTTTTTTCTTTCTCAACAGTATCAAGTAGCTCAACTGTATTCTGTAGCAGAGGCTAGTAAAAATAATACAGGCGGTGGAGAAGGCATTGAAGTATTGAAGAATGAGCCGTTTACGGATTATCCGTTACTCGGTGGAAAATATTCATCGGGGCAATATACATATAAGATTTATCACTTAGCTAGTAAAGTGCCTGCTTTTATTCGCATTTTACTACCAAAGAACTCGCTAGAAATCCATGAAGAGGCTTGGAATGCGTATCCCTATTGTAAGACAGTTATAACTGTAAGTGTTGCGCATATATTTATACATATATACAAGATATTAAGTGTAAATATATTCGTAATTTTTCCGCAGAATCCAGGGTACATGAAGGATAATTTCGTGATTATGATAGAGTCCTTTCATATTGGCGACGTCGGCAATCAGCATAATGTAAGTATCGTCTAATTTGACGAGTTTTTTTTAGTTATTTATGTGTTTCTTTCTCACGAACAGGTTCATGAATTGCCGCCTGATAAGCTTAAGATCAGAGAGATAGTGCATATAGATATTGCCAATGATCCAATTGCAAGTGCTGATTACAAGGAGGACGAGGATCCATCTAAATTCAGGTCCCAGAAGACAGGACGAGGTCCTCTCACTGGAAAAGATTGGAAACATAATGTTCAACCTGTAATGACATGCTACAAGCTAGTCACTTGTGAATTCAAATGGTTCGGTCTGCAGACCCGTATCGAAGGATTCATTCAAAAGGCGGAACGACGCCTGTTTACCAATTTTCATAGGCAAGTGTTCTGCTGGATAGATCGTTGGTACGGTTTAACCATGGAGGATATTAGAGCAATTGAAGACAATACGAAAGAAGAATTAGACAGGGTGAGAAAAATTTTACCTTTTTTTTAATTCTTCCATTTTTAATTCAATCGATTATCTTGCTTTGCGTGAGTCTTTTACATTCGTTTGTTTTAAAATAAAAAATTTCGTCAATTTTTGAAACGTTTTTTATATCTTCAATTGCAGCAAAGACATCAAGGTGAAGTACGGGGTATGCGAGCTGATGATTGAGGCTTCGATAGCTTCTATTATGAACGGTTAAATCAATTTCCTTATACATGTCATCACAAATACAGACGCATACCTACAGATGTACACCCTATTACGCTCTGTCATAGATGATTCCACAGGATTCGGACGATTTCTGGAATTTACGTGTCTAGATTCAGTGTCTATTACAAATTACTTACAATTTTAATTTATTTTACATTTACAAGCGTTTTAGATAAATGTATCTACAGTCAAAGATTATAATGTAGTTATTATTATAAAAGAAACAGAAACAAATGGAAGGAACCAGAATCTTCTGGTTCTTTTGTTTTATGCATAATTATGAAAAGAATCTGGTTTCTGAAAACTATCATAGATAAAAACGTTATGATTACTTAAGCAGTTCGTAGTTCGATAATAATAGATATTGAAGTTCAATTAATAATCGACAAAATGCTTGCTACAAAGTATATAAAAAAAAAACAAAGGAAATAATGTGATTTAACATCGCGAATTTGATCGTAGTTTAATAGTTAAAAAATTCCACAGTTTAATATATTAATGTACAATTTAAAATCTAAATGTTGCATATTAATGATCTGTATTTCGAATTATTATTTCAACTGAAAGTGTGATGTATTAGATTATGTATTTTCGAAAGAAAGCTCGAGAGTATTTTCTCAATTCTACGAAGGTGAATATATTATGATCAGAAAGATCAATTTGAAAAATTCTAAGGATCTTAAATGTATATCTATAGTTATTTCATGGGATCTCTCTATGATCCCGAGGCAAGGTACTACGGTAGATTTCAATCTATAATGTTCCTCTGTTCTTTCATTCCGTTCGTTATCGACGAGCGCGAGATGTGTATACATATGTACCTATTCCCTACCCTAAAGAGTTAGGACCAAACTGATGGATTTTTTAATTATACTGCGATGCTAACAATAATGTTATTAACATACTACACTCTAAATTGTTTACTGAGAACGGGGAGATGATGTATTCTAATGTAAAGTGCTCACACTGATATACATATACACACATATGTAGAGAAACAGAGTTTAGGCTATTTCAATATTGGTGACAGCGGGTAAACAGCAAAAGAGTGCGTTATTGTGTGTATATATATATATATATATATATATATATATATATATATATATAAAGAAAGGCATACACAATGAAATTCAAACTATATATATATAATGTTTCTTTTGCATTCCAATGGATCTCTTAGTACAACCGACAAAGTATTCTGGAACGCTGCTCGTAACCTGTTACAGACTATTACCATCCTTAAATTTTAAATTTGTCTTCAATAAGTATGTGAGAAAAAATATCGTGACGAAAAAAAAAGATAATTTTGTTGTCGTTCGTAACAAGAGCAAAGCTCATTATACATGAGATATTTTAAAGTTTATTTTGAAAATAATTATACTTATTTTCATTGAATCGACTCTTAGGATAAAATGAGAGTAAAGTAGTCTTTTAATGGGTTGGAATCGCAGCAGCATTCTCACCTAGTGATAGGATCTATAATTAAATATACGATTAAAGATTGAAAAACAGTAACGAGAAGTATATAATTTAACTGTCATTTGCACAAAGTAAATGTATTCTCCGTATTTTCTCGTTGGAAGGCATGTAGTTTAAGGTAGCTTTTATCTTCGTATTCATTTACGAACAGTGGTAGTCGCGACAGTGCACATAGTATTTGTACTGAATGTATCAGACACATATGAGAAAACAGAGAAACATGGGCACGTATTTATTCACCGTTTTATCGACGAGGGAAAACCGATCGAAATAAGGCACATCTGTGTCGTTCAAACAAGCTCATAACTTTAATGGAGTCCGCCTTTGTTCAACGACTACGTCATTCGTTTTGTTAGATACGAGAGTTTCACACATGTACGCGAATTTATATTACACTTGTTATCCTACGATATAATACTTATTTAAATAGATTGGCTCTAGATGTACAAGCAGGGTAGTAAAAAAATCATGGATAGTAAAAAGAATCATGGATAGATAGAAAAAAAAGAAGAGAGGAAAAAATTCCGTATCGCTGCCAAAGGGCTAATAGTGAAATACCAGTTGTGTATGTGTATATATGTATATATGCACGTGTATATGCGTTTTCTTTTCTCGCATACATACGTATATGCGTACGTGTATGTGTATGTGTGTGCGCGTGTGTGCGTATGTCTCTCGATCCAGTCAAGTATTTAGTCAAGAGTTAATAAAATTAGAAGGCATAGCATATGAAATTTATTTCGACTTTTCTCTCCATATAAAAATATAATTAATATATATATATGTGTATATATATATATACAAAATTTAATATTAGATGCAATACATACAAAACATATTTTGCTTTCTCTTTGGATATATATGAAAGAAAGATATTGAAAAATTATCTTACATGAGTGAGTCATGCGATCTTAATTGAGACCGTATTCTTTGATGAGATTCGCGGCGATCACAAGTCTCTGAATCTCCGATGTGCCTTCATAGATCTCCGTGATACGCGCATCCCTGTAATGACGTTCCGCCGGCATATCCGACACGTATCCCATTCCTCCCAGAATCTGTAAGCACTGATGAGCGCAGAACGTGGCGGTTTCTGATGCTGATAATTTGGCCATGGCAGCTTCCTAGCGAATAAGAAATTATTTTGACAGTAGATCAAGAATCAACGAGAGAGCCAGATCACAGGTGTGCAAAAATTGTATCGTGATATCAGTTTCGAACTTTATTTAATTTAAAACTGAGGAGAATGTATAACATGGATACGAAAGTTTGGCAAAAAGCATACATCGATATAAATTTTTTACATCTGCAAACTGGCACTCATTAAGTCTTCTACTTGAGATCTTATCCTTGAAAGATCTGTAGAAATTACTTTATTTGTTTCGTTTAAAATTATTTTATTGCTTTAATCTATTAATAATATTAAATCGATTAAAGCTTATGCTATCGTGCAAGCAACTTAAAAAATTTTTCTGTGCATTCATAGAAGATCGTTTACCTTATCCGATAAGATACATAAAATGTAATCAATAGAAAAATATATACAGAATAAGATTGAAATTAAATATTATATATATATATATAAGATAAGAATCCAGAGGAAATTCGCGATCATATTATCTAAAGTAAACATTCTACTAAAATGAATTAATATTCAACAATTAGGAAATAAAGACCTTAAACGATCAAGCTAGATCTTGAAGTGCTGAAATAATTCTGTGTGAATTCATATATTACATGTAGTAAAGATTTAGCTCGACCGTTTAAGATCTTTATTTCTTAATTGCTGTGTAGTTACAACGATCTTATTTGTATTGTAAATTAATATCTATTTTATATCCAAATATTTATAACACACCTTTGTATACGGTTTACCGTTATCCTTAAGCTGAGCCGCTCGCCACGTCAACAGTCTTGAACTTTCCAATTTTAGAGCCATATCAGCGATTTTTTGTTGAATCGCTTGCAGTTTGATAATCGATTGGCCGAAGGCTTGGCGTTTAGATGCATAATCCATCGCGCAATCCAAAGATGCTTGAGCTATACCTAATGCTTGTGCAGCGATTCCTATTCTGCCACTATCTACAGAGAAAATATTATATATGAATAATTATTACATATAAAAATTCACGTAACTTTTGAAATTGTAATTTAAAATGATTGTCACGTACCTAGAGCCATCATTGCGATTTTGAAGCCCATTCCTGGTTTGCCTAAAATATTATCTTGTGGTACTTCACAGTCTTCAAAGATTAAGGAGCAAGTGCTGCTACCTCGTATACCCAATTTGTCCTCTTTCTTGCCCAGACTCAGGCCTGCTGTTGGACTGTCGACTAGGATAGCGCTTATACCCTTGTGCTTCTTGGACTTGTCAGTCGTCGCAAAGAGAATTATTGTACTAGCTTCAAACGCATTTGTTATCCATGACTTGGTGCCGTTAATCGTATAAACGCTGCCGTCCGCTTTGGCAGTAGTAGATGCCGCACCGGCGTCAGATCCATTACCTGGTTCACTGAGAGCAAAACAGCCGATCTTCTCACCATTCATAAAAGGAACAATGTATTTTTCCTTCTGTTTATCAGTCCCGAATGCGTCTATAGGGCCTAAGTAGAGAGAATTTTGCACACTCATTATAACTCCAGTACTCGCACAACCTCTGGAGATTTCTTCCATGGCTATAACATAAGCCAGATAATCCAGTCCTGTTCCATCTAGTGTTTCAGGGATGCATAAACCCAAGAGACCTAACTCTCCCATCTTTTTGATTTGCTTCTTTGGAAAAAGATGCTTTTTATCAATCTCTGCTGCGATAGGTTTTAATTCTTCTTCGGCGAAATCCCTACAATTACAAATTTTTAGTAGGGATGATAAACTTTATTTGATAATTAATTATATATCTATGTCAAGTAGATAGGTGTAATTTATTGCTTATACAATATTAAAATACCTGCATGTTTTATATAACATTTTATGTGTATCTGGCAGCATAGAAAGCGAGGTAATGTATCGGTTGATACTAACAGTGCATGCACCTCTAGATATATTATTTGCTGTAATCAATATTTAATATAAAATAATCTTTATTCCCCATAATATTAGATTTAGAAAATATTTGATACCCACCAAGTAATCTCAAGCATTGCATTGCCATTGTTTTCGTACTGTCGTTGACGTTCGACTTATGGAATTGTTATAAATCGAACTTTCGAACTTTGACCAGACAGTATAAACAATTGCACACGATACGATACATTCATGTATATTTATCTGTTTTCATTTATGTGTATATAATACTATGTGTATATATAATATTATTTTTGCCAGTATTATAATTACCAGTATTATAATTAGAGAGCAGCAGAATTTCTGTCAGTTCTTGTCTGTTTAGTGTTTACTATTCTGCTACTGTTTACGTTAATGTGACAAGCCAGTTGCAGACGTGGACCAGTCGCAGATCGTTATGGAATCTACCTATCGCCAGCCGATAAAGTTGACACGTACAGAAACGAATTTAGAGTATTGAAAACGCAGCGTTGTGCCGACAATTTTTTTAATGAATGAGCAAATAGTACCATCATGTTTGTTGATAGACAAATCTAAAAATATATAGTAATTTGTATCTATAATAAAAATACATTTATCGAATACATTTAAAATACATTTTAGTTAATCTACTATTCTATCTAAATAATCGAATGTTTTAATATGAAAAAATTTTTTAAATACATACAAAATTACACGATGACGAAAATAATCATTTAATTATTAGACTACAATAAAATATTTTAAAATTTATCACTTATATATTATTTAAATTTTCTACTGACATTATTCCTTTCGTAATTTTATAAAATAGCTTCAGTAAAATCGATTTTTTCATAAAAAGCCTGCCTAAATCTATCATTTATCAAAACAAAAGGCAAAGATTCGATAAAAGTTCGGAAAAATGACGAAAATCTATCTCGGTTTTCGCGCCGTTCATGCGCCGATGGTGTCGATCAATATATCGTGCGGGTAGACACAAACGCGCGCATGCACGGTCGCGGTTCGATAGCGACGAACCCGTTTCTATCCTGCTGCGGATCCTGGAATTCTGCTTCTGCAAGGGAAGAGTGATACTATTCTTGCACGTCGGTGAAAAAAACGAAGAATCTGTCACGATGTCGAGCAGCAAATGCGTGAAGCAGCCGCGTAAGGCGTACACCAAGGAACAGCATGAAATGACGCACTCCGAGAAGCTAAGGCTGATTGATGATGAACTGAATTCCTTTTACAAGTAACACGTCATTTTTGTAAAACATGCGTGAAATTATTATTTCTCAAGTTGTATTAGATGTTTGTTTTACACTTTCGTCAATCGCATTCTTATCACCTAACTAAAAAAGAAATAACAAAAAATTAGTAATGATAATTCCAAAATTGTAAAAGCAAATAGACAATTTTCTAAATCATTTTTGTAAAAAAAAAAAATAGATTTATGGAGAAAAATTATTTTTGTAGTTACACACGATAGAGATTTTTTTTCTTCATTATTAGGACTTTTATTGTATCCAAAATTTTTTTCACAGGTACTGTCAACAGGCAGGCTTCACTGAGGAGGAAATGGACATTATATGCCAGCCACTCGTAGCGGCGATGCGTCGCTCATGGTTGCAACTTGTCTTTCGTGGCACTTTGGTGTTGATAGTATTGGGTACACTGGCATGTCTTGCAGCTCAGTTAGACTTCGTTGGTACTCATTTCACCGCCCTCAGCCGTCTGCTGCTGATAAAAGTTTTGCCGATCTGGAACTGGCAGCCGCTCTATTATGAAAATTGCATGATCAACAACCCCTTTTACAACGATTACACCATCACGGAAGAGGATTGCGTGGTACGCTTCGTATTTTCAGAATAAGAAAAATCAATCTTTGCACTTAGGAAAGAGATTTTGCTGCGATTTTTGGGATGTAATATTGTAAGAGGAGATATCAGAGATTTACGCTTAAATAATTGACAAAGAACTTTCTTGCAGACTTGCGAGGCTTTGGAGACGATTGATCGTTTATCAGACGTTCGGTATCGTAATCTAGTTGACAATTATCTAAATCGCGACGCACCAGCTATTATCACCGACGCAATGGACTCATGGGCAGTCATGAATACCGATTACTTCTGGTTTGATAATATCACCCATGTGAGTAACAGATGAATTTTGCTGCCTTATTATTATAAATGCTTAACTTCTTCAAGAATCAAATTGAAGGAAAAAATGTAGATAACTTTCACTTATCGAAAGTTGAATTGTCGAAGACAAAATTATCATAGCGCAAAGAATCAGTGTGATATTTTCAAAGACGATTCCATGTGAAGAAACATTATTTTTCGACGCAAACAGCTCTACTTGGAGAACGAGCGACTGATGGAGACGGTACCCTGCGCCCTGACCTCGAATTTGCGTACTGGTTCGTCCGATCTTGCGGCGTTTCTTCGACGCGTGCACGCCCCCGAAGTGGCCAAGTGGTTTGTCCATTGGCAGAACTGTGACATCAACGCTGTGAAGGTACTCAGAAAGTACTATCAACGTCCGTACTTCCTCTCCAGCACGGTCTCACCGGCGCATTTCAACTGGGTGCTCATGTCTTCGGACTACAACAGTCCGAGCTACAAGAAGGTCGAGCTTGACTCTGGTCTAATCGCTCTCGCTCAGCTCCGTGGCGCGACTCAGCTGCGTCTCACTCCTATAAATCCCTGCAACAGTTCGTGCCCTGAGCTGATCGCCGATCTGCATCAGGGCGAGATGCGTAAGTGCCGCGACTGAAATTGGACTGAAGTACGGAGCACCTTTAACAGCTCGCGATAAACCGGAGTGGCTGGCGTGAAAAGGCCACACAAAACTTCTAGTGAGTTGTATAATTGTTGAATTATTTATATATATTGTATAATAATATAATTACAAAATTTGTCTATTAATTTTACGTGCTGATTATAAGGTGTTCTATACTTCTGGCAAAATTATATTAGGTCTATAAATTAGTTCGGTCGGTTGTTGTGTTCAAAAATATGCATTTATTTCAAAACAGAATGAATGAACAGATTAATTATAGTATTGTCCATCGCTGGCTACTACTTTTTCCCATCTCTCGCAGGCAATTTTCGAATTCTATCTCGAAAAAATGACTCGTCTTTGGAGGGGATCATCTTTTGGAAAACGGACCGAACTAATTTCTACTCCCAATAATAACGGCGAATGAACGGAGGATTGGGCTGTAATGAATTAAGTTTCTCAATGAAAAAACTCGCTTATTATATTAATTATTATCCATTTATCGGATAATTAATCTCGCAAAACGAAGATCAGCATATATATATATATATATATATTCCCCAATCTTAATCTATAAATTTAAAACTTTAGTATTGTCTGAATATACTGTCTACTATTGCTGCGAAGAGTCGATATTTTTGAATTACTTGTATAATTTCATCTGTGATGCATGCTGTACAACTCTTCCTCGTTTTGATAGAAATTCAATTTGAACTACACTACCAAATATTTTTAATTTTACATACCTCTTAAGAATCGAAAATATTTATTTATTGAAAACTTATCTAAAGTCGGATGAGATAAAATTAGCGACGATCTTGTGAGTGCTATTAAGGTTTTACGATCTCAGATATCAAACTCACGCGTATTTTTGCGATAACAGTATCATGTTGCGACGATATTTTCTCGTAGATTAATTATTCATAATATTGCTGCAGTCGTTTTCACGAACGTGATGTGGACGCTCGAGTACGCACCGATGCGTGGCCTAGACAACATCGCCATACTCACGGAGACCGTTTGGGAGGAAGACACGTAGATTATGTCCGTATCCTGAGGAGATGATTATCGTCACGTAATAAATAATATACTTTTAGTTCCACAATACTCTTCGACGTGACAGCTATATATCAATTTGATATATATTGTATACTTATGCCCCGTTATATGACATACTAAATAAAGATTGAGCATTCTGGTTTCCGGCTGAATTATTTACTCTTCCGTTCATACTTAGAATTTGCAGTGATATCTATAAAACGGGAAAAAAAATAAAAACTTAAAAGACGAACCAATTAACGATGCAATAAAAATCGGTGCGGTAGTCCATAACGAGGTATACCAGAAGTAACAACAAACAAGATTCGTTTTTTATTAATTAATCGTTTATAATAACATTGTGTGTGTGTGTGTGTGTGTGTTTTAGTTGGGCTCTTATATCTTCTGTTTTCTCTTCATATATGTACATGTGTGTGTATTTTTATATATATACATATATATTATATATATATATATATACACATACACATACATATAGAGCAACTTTTTTCTTCTGTTGCTCTTACTTCACCTCGATTTAACAAGGAGTAAGATCGTCACGCACCGATTCATAGAAAAAACAAAGCGTAAGATTACTGAATGACAACGTAGCTGACGTTTCTCTCTCTTAGAATACTTAAGAGACGACGCGATATATTTTCTTTTTCATTTTTTTTTTTCATTTATATTGAAACATATTATATAGTCGATTTGCGCTACCTCCTGCTCCCGCTTCATGCGTCCTTAATGTCGACACGAGAGAAAGAATGACAATAATTGGCGACTAATTAATATTGTCCGGATAGCTTCGTAGCCTTCTCCTTAAACCGTCCCTCTGTCAGTCACTTTGATTCGTTATAGCGCTCTCTCCCTCCGTCAATGAAGCTTTCCTAGCGAACGAAAGTCCGCGCGTTCCCAGAACGATTGCCGTCGATCACACCGATATCCGTTTAAAATCGTATCAAGCATTGTAACTTTTCCCAATTTCGATCTCAACAAACTCCTAAAATAAATGATATTCAAAGTAGTCAAACATAATCGCTAAATTTATCGCGTTTGTCTTTCACAAGTACAATTTTTCAGCGCTCGTAGTGCTCGAGTACGAAGAATGGAGCGAATCAATGATGAAACGTTTTACTTCCGGAGAATCATATTCTTAGATAGTAAGACTTTCAAACGGACACTCGTATATCGACGCTTGTCGACCTGGGATATGTGTGTGTCTCTTGTGTACGTGTAAATGCGCGGAGGGCGGGCGTTATATTTATTCTATTCGACACCTATATAGTAGGTGAAATCAACCCAGTGCCTTATGTCTAAAGGTATCTACGAAGACCGAAAGAAACGTCCGGAAAATTGTGAAGGATTGCTAGGCGCACCTGCGTTCCTTTCAGCATTCGAGAACTCGTTCGCACGCTCGCTCACTCGCTCGTTCGTTCGCCAGTCGATTTCAGTCCTCGACGCCGATCGCTGCGATATCAAAAGAGCTACACGGATCGTCCCATTCAGAGGCTAAAAGTTGGTAACAATGAGAATGTACAATGAGATATACAGAGGTATGATAAACGATCCTAAGAAGTATTCAGTAGCGACTGATACCGCTAAGTTAAGGCCGACGATCCGTCATCACAATCGCGCAGAAGAAAAATATTAACATTCACCTTCGATAAAACTTACAACAAGAAGACTGTCGGATAATATGGAAATATTACAGACAATATAATTTACATTCGATAGAACATTGTAAGATGCATGACTAGCTATGAGATTAAGACTGACCATTTAAAATCACACATTGGACGCGGATCAAATATTCAGACTTTTAGCTATATACGAATATCACGGCTTTTTTTTTTTTTTTTCAAGAAGATGATGTAGTTGATAGAGGATGATCCTATGACTATGTGATATTCTTAACGCGATGACGGATCAGGAGCCTTCAGGAGCGAAACCATCGCGTATAATCCTCGCGCTCGATCGTCTCGTCGCGTCTCGCTTTTATTGTTCTCGTTAAACGATCTTTGGCGCTTGTGGTCTGGACCGCGCGAAGAGGATGAGCGTCGCGAAGATGACTGATCGTTCAAACGCGAGATACAGAATGAGTCCGTTCGCGTGAAAGTCATATAGGTGCGTTTTTAGGGTGATCATATCTAAAAGTCTAACGATGATAAGTAAAAATGCTTACTCCTTTCTCTTTCATTTTCTCTTTCTCTCTTCGACTTTGTACCGTAAGTAAAAGCACTAATGTGTGCGCACCGCATCGACGATTAGTTTCTCTACTTTTCTCTCTTCTCTTCAACAATATTTTCTTTTCTTCTTCGAAGACCCGCTTCCTGCCGGAACCTGCTCGACATCTCGCGTCGGTGCTCCCATAATTCTCTTTCATTTTTCCTCTTATTTTCTCTCTCTTTATATACGCCTATAATAATCAATTTTAAGTCCGTAACAAATATGTATACTTTCTCGCTCGCGCGAAAGAGAACTATACACGGCTATATTATAGAGATACGTGGGTTAACGCAGAAAACAATCGAAGAAAGACAAATAACGACCGCGATATATGTGAGAGATTACACACACTCGACACTCGCTATTAGCGTCTTGGTACTCGTTATAATCACCCGCGGCATCGGAAACTTCGATATCAGTCTTTTATCTTCACATCGCCTGAATCAAGATTACTAGTTAGATATGAGTTCGGTGTTGTCGTAAAATACAGTGCGAAAATTATCAATCGTGAGGTGGAGGGGGCGGGAGGAACAATAAACAAAAAGCCGCAGAAGCGAAAGAGAACACGTGCTCTAATAATGATAAATAACATCGATATCACTTTCCACTTTGTTATTACTCGAATTGTCCAGTTATACAGTTCCATAAACGAGCATTGATATTCTTTCTCTTTCGCTTCAAAATACGCGTTTATGTATAATATCTCTAACTAAAAGATATAACGTAATAAAAATAACTGTGCAAACGAAACATCCGCCATTGTAAATCATTATTATGGTGCATTGACATCTTCGCGAATTTATCCACGCGAATAGTCGCAGAGAAAGCGACGGATTCTCTCACGTCTCTCGCACGATCGTCCTATATTACACGATCGGATCTGATCGATCGATTATCGGATCCGTCAAATGCGCACGTTCAAAGCTGAGTGTATCGTTCTATTATCCACGCAACAATAAAATAAAAAATAAAAGCATGAAATGCTTCAACATTCGAGTACCGTTGTTCTGTCTACTTTTGATTTAGACAGACTCACTCCATGTAGTGTAATATCATTCATGCGCTAGCTTATGCAACGGCAAGGGAGATACATAGGGAGATACATCCATTTCTCGCAATTAATTTCCTATATACGTATCTTAATATTTACAGCGTTTGCAATCTTATTATCATTTAAATAATAATTTATCAATAATCTTTCCAGTTTTGATGATTTGCGCATAGAAACCTTTGATTTATAACAAATCATCACGACATTATCTACCGCGTTCTGATTACATGATGGAAAAATGAGCTGTACAGTTATTTTGTTTGGATAGTGAATTCCAACTTTTCTTTAATGATAGAGATTTTATTTTGGTCCATAATGACGTATACATGATGCTCCTATTAATGTCGGCTCATTAATATCGTTCCATTTATTTATCAGAAAGTCAATGTTATTTTTTTATTACTTTTCTGAACATCGTAATATTAACCCTTTCTTTCCCTTCTCTATTCTAAATTCTAACAATATGTAATCGTAACATTATTACGTGATATTGTCCCCCCAAAAAATTATTACAGCTGCAATGCCCTGATAGGAATGAAAGGATTGAATCGTGATCTCGAGTTTCCTAGAAATTGCTTCATATCTTAAGGGAAATGAATTATCTCCCTACGCAGTGCTCCCTTCTTTTCAAAATCTTGAGTTTGTCTCGCTGTATATGTATATTCACCGTCACCGAAAAACATACGAAAAGCGAGTACACACACAGGACAAGCGCAAGTAATAACAATTAAGTACAAGATTGCGTCAATGACGTGACATTGATAGCAGTGATAATGATTGATGGTATAATAATGATGATGACGATGGAAATGAATCCATAAAATTACTATATAACTGCCTATGTAACTACCAAATAACTGTCATATTACGTATTTACATAGCAGTTACATGGCAATTACATGGCTGGGAAAATGAGGATGATGATAATGATGCTGTTGAATGATTCGATAATGGATCCGGAAAAGATTTGTCGCTCTTCCTCCGCCATATTTTTTTGCTAAAGATATTTTGGCGAAAGAAAACAATCGAAGGTAAAGATACTTTGTACAAAATACGAAGTAGCGATGTAACAATACTTTGCAATAGTTAAATATAATATATGTATATATATATATATGTATATCTGTATATGCATATGTATATATGTATATCCAGTTACCATTTAATACGCTATGATCACCCGTTCCATCTGAATTCCCTCTCTCTCTCTCTCTCTCTCTCTCTCTCTCTCTCTCTCTCTCTCTCTCTCTCTCACACACACAGTTATGATATATAGTTATCGTTTGATACGCCGCCGATTCGCCCGCCCCGATCGAAGGATCGTAGCGTTTCGTGTTTGCGTTTCATTGGTATCTGACGTTGCTTCGCATTCCGTTTTGTCTCCAATTTTTGTGCGCCATTCAAATCCGACGATAAATGATCACATTGCGTTCATCCTCGGGTATCATCTTGGATTCGTTAGATTTCCGATCCGAACAGGCGATCCTGATTCCGAGATTCATCCGAGCGACCGAAACCGTGAAGCTTGAGAATCTCTCTTTTCCTTTCTATATCTTTCTTTCGCGGCCCGAACGCGACGATTCTATCCGCGCGTAAGTCCATTCAGGAATGCTGGAATAAAAAGCGAAGGACATGGGATAATGTAAGGAAATACGCGAAGAGGGGAGGGTCCAGTCTCATACACGGGAACAAGAGAAAATTGTCAAGACGAGAGATCGTCATCATTTATTCGTATATGCGCCGCTACGGCTCTCGATATAGCGCGCTCGATTTTCACGAGAAAAAGAAAAAATAGCTAGAAGAATTATCGATTAAAGATATGATTATTGGTTGCTGGGTGAGACGGTTCTCCCAAGGCACACCCACATTGTTGTCGCGTCCTCACTCCTATACGGCGATATGATTATCCCTTTGCAGGTCGGCCTCTACTTCTCTTTTTCGTCTGTAATGAAAGATTCAACTTTGACTTGTCTAGCTTTACTTCGCCAGTGACTCGTTTTGTATATACGGAATTTACATTAATGCGGAATGCTTCTCTCTCTCTCTCTCTCTCTCTCTCTCTCTCTCTCTCTCTCTCTCACACGCACACACATACATACACTTGATGCAATCTGCAACGAAGGTTTCTTTTTTTACTCTGAGAACCGAACGGCGCTTTGAATAAAACAAAGAGGACAAAGAGAGATTGGAAGAAACAAGTCGCGCAAATACGCGATTTACATGATTTGGTCGTCGCTTGTCATATTTTGCAGATAGCATTCCATGATATTGACTATCTCGTGTATGTAGGAGATTCCGCGACGGACGAGCAAGTATCTCTTCAATGGACCGTGCAGCACCGATCGAGGATCCTACCAGCGCGTGAAGAAGAATTAGGAAGTATTGTAGTAAGATTTCAGAAAAAGAGAATTAAGACAAAATTCGATGAATCTTGTATGTATCTCTTGTCTCTTCTCGATCGGTAAAATCGTCAGTTGAGTCTCGGCGTGGAGCATCTTTATCTTATATTTTAAGCTATCCACATCGTTTTTTCTCCCTGATGCCTCTATCGCAAGGCTCGTTCTTGATTTATATTTGTCCATCGACAATTTCTTTTTATTTTGCAGTAGTTAATGATTAATAGTAGCGAATAACAACAATAACAGCAACAGCAGCAGCAGCAGCAATGGCGCACTTTTTCTTACCTTTGTCCCTTTTGTCTTCAGTAACAACGTTCGACATCGCTTCCTTTTGTTATACATTCTCCGCTGTCAAACGACGTTCATCGTAATACTGATTTATACGTGATTGACGAGATTGACTTGCGCGTATGCGAGCGCGAGGAGAATGAAACGATCGTGACGGTGCGTCGTTATTATTATCATCATTATCGTCATCACCATCACATCGTCAACAATCGCTCCTTCTCACTTGCCCAATCCGAACTTCATGAAAATTAGCTCTTTCCCTTTGGACAGTATATCGCCGCCAGCACTTGCACCCGCCATTTCGGTGAATTTCTGCATCAGGTTCGGCCCGGTGCTCTGTTGCTGCGGCTGCTGCTGTTGCTGCGTTGGATTAGGCTGTGTCTTGGACTGCGCTGTCGGTAGCACTGCCGGTATCCCTCTAATAGGTTTGCTAGCACTCTGAGGGCCGCCCATTTGCATCCCGAGACCGCCCGGTTGATTTTGTTGTGAGAATGGTTGGCCTAATTGCTGCTGTGGTTGGCCCATTTGTGGTTGTTGGAACTGTTGCGTTGATTGTTGTGAATATCCTTGATTCTGCTGTTGCTGTTGATATGGCTGATTCGGTTGTTGCTGGTACGGCTGATTCATTTGCTGCTGGCCTTGATAGTCTTGCTGTTGGAGGTGCTGGCCCTGCATACCCGGCATGTTACTACCAGCGATCCGATTGACCACGCCGCCCCTCCCCTTCCCCTAAAAACAAAGAAATATGATTAATTCCAGCTTTTCTTTCTCGCTCGATAATGTCTCGCTTTCTTATTTTATTAATATCCAATCGCTAATAAACGAAGAAATCGTATCTATTTTTTCGCCTAACTCTATCACGCGCGTTCTATCGTTACTTTCGCTAGTGTCACGTCTGCGAGGCTATTCGCTTCTATCATTCCGAAGATTCTACGATTCGCTAACGCAAATAAATTGTCGGCAATTCGAAAGATATATGTGATGAATTCTGTTTTATGTAATGGTAAAAAATAATTAGCAAGAGAAGAAATATTGTGAGTATATGTTTCACGATAAGAGAGAGAAGGTAACATATAAGAATGGACGAATTTTGTGTTGCTTCCGATTCGCCCGTTTGTAAAATATGTGGTGTTAGTGCAGGACATTCATGTCACGATGATTTATCCAAGTGTAAAATAAGTTTTTTTTTCTTCTTTTTGCGATGATCTTTATTAAAATGACAAAAGATCAAATAAGAAGTTGCTATAGCATGCTGCACAATTTAAAGCGTTTTACATGGCATACATTGATACGATATACACACACACACCACACACACACACACACATACACACACACACAGCTTACGTGCTACCTTCGATACGCGAGTTTCACAATAAAGTGTGACTCATACTTGCAAAAAGAAGAACATACAACTAATACTAAGTAAAATACAAAAATACTGACTCAAACAGCCATCTTATTTTTCTAATTAAACATGACTTTGCTCATTCTTTTCATTGTCAATCCACATTGCATTAGAAAAATTAGTATTCCAAAAAATTCGTTTTATAAATAATTAAAATATTTTTTATGTATCTATACTTTGCAACATCATTTGCATTCATGCAAAAGAATCAAAATTTAATGAATTAATAATTATTTCTAGTAAAGATAGAATCGCGAGTTAGAGCTGACAACAAAGCATAGAGAGCAACATGTAATTTAAAAAATGCATAAAAACGATAAAGATACTAGACCATAAATTTCTTTGTAAAATTCCAGACTGTATAACTTAATCTGATATCTACATATTTTATCTATATGCAGAAAGTAAATCAAATGAAGAAATTTGAATAATCTCTGCGGTCAATTGATCCTAACAAAAATTCTAATGAAGTACAAACCAAATATTTTTAATAATATTCATTCGCTTTAAATAAGGAAATATTCATTCGCTCCAAAATTTCGCAGCCATGTAGTAATAAAAAATTTAAATTTTCCTCCCTTCATTTCTCATCGAAAGGAAATTAACAACTTATGGTCGTGGAACAACGACTTATCAATCACGGACAATCGTTGATCGTGGCAGTCTTGATGTACCTAAATAAAGAACAAGCGCACAAAAAGTGTAGATAAAAAGCACACACGTTCGACAAAAAAAGCACATAAGAAAGAGAGAAAGAAAGAGAAAGAGAAAGAAAAAGCGCACGAAGAAATTCTCGGAAGAGGAGCGGGCTCACCTGTTGCTGAAGGTGGGGCAGTACGGGACCTTGCTGATGGGCACCCATGACACCGCCGCTGGGTGGCAAGTGACTGGGCCCATGCTGATTGGACGTGGTTACGGTCGTGTAGCTGTGGTGATTCGCTTGTTGATAGGCTAGATGCGGTGGATTGTTTTGATGTTGTAGTTGATGTTGTTGGTTGTTCATTAGTGATGGTGGTGGTTGTTGTTGTAGTTGTCTAGAGTCTAAGTGACAGACAGGGACAGACACAGGCACAATGCAGGCATCTAGCAACAGAGAAGAGAACAGGACCGTGTTGTCATTTATGGCGCATTTATCTTTTACTTTTTTCCCTTTTTTCTTTTTCTTCGAGTCGATCGAGCATGTCAGGGTATATATTATCGAGATTTGGAAGAGTCGCGAGCAACGAAATAGATGAAAGTAATAATTATTTAAACGATCGCGCAAACAGTTCCGAAATTATACTTGAAGAGATCTTATATAAATCACGCGAGTTCAGAGGACACGACGTCGCTATTCGTTCGGTATTCTTGGATATAAAACTCGCGACCGTTTACCGTTGGTTTGTATCGTTCGATCAATGAAAGATCAACGTAATCGTAAATGGCCAGCATGACAACACGACACGAACGACAATCATGTGACACGACGACCATCGATCAGTTCAGGCACACAGAAACAGATCATGTCGGTATAAAGTAAACTGTTATATATCACAGCGGCATGATCGTGTGTATATAATCAGTCAGATAAATATATATATATAGTGTAAATATATAATATATACGTATGTATATAATATAGACAGAAAGAATAGGACAGATACGTAGAGTAATAGTAATAGAGGCAGATAGTGCCCGGAGAGAAAAAAAAAAATATATATATATAAATATACGTACATATATAATCATATATACGTATATAAACATATATATATATGTTAGGTATATACTTATATAATAGAAGACATTGAAAGCAGCTTGGTGTTTTATTGCATATATATATAATCTATCGTCGTGTGTATGACAGCACGTGTTTTCACGGACGTTTACCAAATTCTTTTTATATACATGTGACGCGAAAAACTCTATCGGTGTAATACTTGTAACGTTGACGATCGTGGTAACAGTTAACATGACGTTGTTAAATGCCTACGAGAGCGTGATATCGATGTACATTAATTGCTGGAAGGACCGGTGTTGACCGGTAGTGGTGCGTGTGAAGCGACACAACGAGTCGTCCTCTCGCGTCGAGAGGCACGTGTAGGGCGTGTCGGACACACGCGGTTTGCACACCTTGCTCCAAAAGAATTTCAATCTATTTATACGCCGCATGCTCATTCGGCTCGAATTGTATATCGATTCGAATTCGCCAAATTGCGCAATGCTAATGATACGTCAGTGTGGCCCTTCTGCCTGTCGTCTGGCACACATCTGGTTTCGTGTCTTGTGTTGCTTGACGCTTGCATTTTCGTTTTTGCACACACCGACGCGATCGTCATCGATTTTGCATTTTCATGAGGAATAACACGCGTACATACGCATTCCGATCGCTCAATCACCCGAGACAACAAAATGATGCGTCGCGTCGGTGTAAAAACGTCAACAACCCCTCGAGCCAGTTCCAACATCTGCGAAGAGGTCGAATTTTACACGACACATGGCAATCTCTAACTTACAGCGGAAATAAATTATTTCTGGCTTTTAACAATTTGGCAGTTTACGCGTCTTGCATTGCGCTGCGGATGCTGTGTTTTTACATCAAAACATTCACGGTGATTGGGTATACGTCAAAACAATATCAATATACACACATGGAGAAAAAAAATTTTGCTGACGAAGCAAAATCATTATTGCTACTACATATATGATGCAAAAATACTTTTATTTAAAAAAACCGTTATCTCGCTTTGATAATTAATTAACACATTAGTAAAATGTATTCCCTTGATAAAATGATGGGAAGATTTTATCGAGTTTATTTGGGGGCACACGAATGTGCTGCAATAAAAGATACAAGTTAATGCAACAAATAAAATTAATATCTTTAAAATGAATTTTTTCACTGTCTATAATAAAACTGGATTGCTATAATAGTATATATAAAATACACTGGAATGACAAACTTTTTTCTCCATGCAGAACACACAGTTAATTCCGATGTCGTTTTGGCTTGAGGAGCTATTCATGCCCGATAATCGGTACTATAAGGAGGTTTTGATGAATATGAAACATGATATCTGATATTGTGTGTTTACCTTTGCCACGTCGATGACTAGTTGGAGGTGGTTCGCGAGGAGGTGGCGGTGGTCCCCTCGCGCCCGGTCCTTGGCTCTGGCCGCCGGGTCGCCTGCTACCCTGCGGCGGTTGCCCCTGATTCTGTCCGGGTGCCTCGGTGAGAAAATTACTCGGTACTAAACCGCGCACACCGTTCAACTCGCCCATGTAAAATCCATCATCATCCATATCACCATAGACGTATATCTCGTTTCCGGTTTGGAACGTTAACTCAACTTGCTGCAAAATTAAGGTAATTAATAATAATGAAAGCATATAAATTATTATATACGTCATTATGTAAATACGTGGTGATCGGTCAATTAAGTATAGTTAACGGATCCTTGCTCTAAATAAAACAAACCTAATTTAAGTTACCTAAATAAAACAAAAATCTTACAACATCAACATTAGGTGATAATTCATGAGGATCATAATCGTAGAGGGCTATCATCTTTTTCATAGGCATGTTTGCATAAATGTCTCCCCATCTCTCACTCTGTGTAGGTCCTCGCCTACCAGGCTGTCCTTGACCTGGTGGATCTTTAAGCTCCTCTACCATATTATAAGGAACATATCCTCGTCTACCGCGACACTCGCCCCAATAAAATCCATCAGCATCTTTTTCGCCGTATACCTATGGAATATATGACTTTTCTATCATGTAATGCAATGGTTTCCATTTATAGAATTTACGGATATAAATATGAACAAGGTGTGAAATTAAATATATCATCTAAAATTTTATAATAAATATAATATCTTTTTACGGAGAACATTTTTTTAAATTTAAGTTTAATTAAAATAGTTTCAATAACCATAAATATTAAATAAGAATGATGTAAGATAAAATACAGATTGAGAACCTTAATGGTATCGCCTTCGGAAAATGGTAATTCCTCCTCGCACGCATCTGGATTCGGTGACATGGTCGTAGGATCGTAGTCGAATAATGCCACAAACCAACGTTGTCTCTTATTCATTTGTTGAGTTACATTGGATGGATGACTTGTTCCACCTTGAGCCTGTGGTACTCGTCCGCCGCGATACATCGGTCCTCTTCCCCTTTGAGCAATATATGATCCTGAACAATATTTAAACAAGTGAACATAATAACATACGACACATGGATTCATTTTGTACACTTAAAATTGATAGACAATTATACAGCATGATTATTTTACACCAAACACTGCAGCGAGAGAAGAGAGTCCGAAAGAAGAGAAGAATGCCACACATATATCATTCAGATTTATCTTCAGAGTTGTAACGTAAACAGCAATTTTCAGAAATAATTAATTAGAAGGAAAACGAAATTTTGGAAAGTGATACAAAGAATGCAAAGAATTCCATCACAGCAACACAGTGACCCGATTATATCTACCCGTTTGGTCAAAATAAGGATCTTGTGGTCTACTGCTGGGACCACCCATGCTAGGAGATCTATGTGCTCCAGGCGGGCCCTGTGGATCCATTTGTGGGCCATATCGATGATGCGGACCGTGATGCTGTGGTGGCATTCCCCGCGATCTTCGCGTGGGATCGTCCTCCTCGCTAAAATTTGCTTCGCTTGCAGAATCTTTTGTAATTTCCGGAATTCCTATACGAGATAATTAAAAAACGCGATTAAGTAAAAGTATAAATCACATCACGCAGGAGAGCTTTGGTTGTACAAAAGTTGATTTTAATTCATATTAAACCCAGATTCTTTTGCTTCTTTATATTTCAAAATATTTACCCATTTGAGGAATGCTCTGTCCGGGATAAATCTCTTTGTCCGAAAGATTCTCGTCCGTCTCGATGATAACCTGACCGTGGGCGTCTACCCTGTTGCTCACGTGTCGTCGCATATGCGAGGGCACCGGTGCGTTTGGGTATCGCTGAGCTACGCCACCGGGCATGCGATGGCGATTGGGATCATCCTGCGGAGGGCCCATAGTGGATTGTTGCGGTTGCCGCTGATCTACTATATGCGGCAGTCCACTATGGGGTGGCGGCATGTGAGCGCCGGGACCACCCCGAAGCACGCTACAGGGTATCGCTGTTGCGCAACTATCGCCCGACTGACTCTCCCTACTTTTAGTCCTGACGGTAATGTGCTTCGGATTGAGGCCCATGAGTTTGTGTATGTCGACGAGCGCGTGATCCCCGGTGGGGCTGTCAACGTCGGTGACCTTCTTACCATCGGCATACACCGCGTAACCGGTGACGGCCGAACCGTTTAGGGCAACAGGCTGCCAGGTCACTAGCAAAGTGCCGTCCTGCGGTCCAGCCTCCACCTAAAAATTGGATAGCAGTACGTATGAGTGTCGGGTAAATTTTTTTCTTAAAGAATCACATTGACAGAAAATCTAGCAACTCTAGTATCTAATTCTGGTCACTGCGAATTTTTATTTCATTTCTGAAAAACATCAAAATTTAATATTGCACTCTAAATTTTTATTATAACTATAGAAAATTTGTAAGATATAAGATTCAAAGATACAAGATAATTATATTTGTATTAACCTGGATATCGACCGGAGGATCTGGTAATCCTTTGGGCAACGTTTTAAAGTGGACGTGACAGGCCAGGTTGTTTGCTGCCTGAGCATTTTGGTCTTCAAAATGCGTCGCCCGCAGGTTCTTCGCCTTGACGGTCACCCTATATATCGTTGACGGGGCCAAGCCAGTGATAGTGTGTCTGTAGACGCCTGGCTTCACGGTTCTCACTTCCACGTTGTTCACACATACAACGTGCTGATGATTGCTGTTACTGGGTAGCCAGGATATCACAGCACTAGTTGCCGTGACGTTCGATGCTTTGACGGCAGTAGGGCCCAAGGCAATGTCCTTACCAATTACCATTGTGCAAGCAGCATCGCGCGACGTTCTTCTCGAGTGCGTGACCGAGCGCACGCTTATCCTGTGTGGCTGCATCACCGAAAGAACAATTACAAGACAATTAAAATGGGTTACATATAAACCAATGACATTTCATACAAATCAATCTTTCATTCTCAATCTTTCATGCCCTGAAATCTTAAAGTTGATGTATCTAAAAAATTTAAGACGATTAATTTTTTATAAAGAACTCTTTTATATTACATATATATATATAGAGAGAGAGAGAGAGAGAGAATTTTTTTCTATTACATTATAATAATTATTATGTAAATTAATTAATAACTTTAATTAAAATTTCAGTATTGTCCCTCATATTATATTTATAAATTCTTTTTGAGGAATCTAATAAATAAGGATTTTATTACGAACCCGTGTAGAATCGACTCCTTCCACTAAAGCCCTGGTCCTCTCTGTGGCCTTCACCGTGACTTTCAGCACGCCGTCCACATAGACGTGATAGGACTCGAGTTGATGCGTATTGTCGGGCGCCGTCCATCCGATCAGCACGCTCTTATTGAGCTGCCGCTCAAGCGTAAGATGCTGCGGCGCCGGAACTAGGTCCGAAAACATGTAGACTTCTTCAGGAGGAAAAGACAAAGACAAAGCCTAGCTGTAGCTAAGGATCTCTCACTATCATCTATCTCTCTAAGCCAGCCTAAATCCAGCCAACACTTAACAAAGTGCAAGGATTTTCAATTTTCTGTGTTTCCCATTTTATTTTGTAATTATTCACTCCGTAAAAGCCGATAAAGAATTTAGGCGTTTACTGTGTGACGTGTATATACCTCTTGTTCTGAATTATCAACGTGCAATAAATAGGGTAAGGGAAGAAACTGTAGGAACATATAGAGGATAATTTGATATTATTTTTTGGATACTCAACATTGAATTAAACATACAATTATTGCATACACATCAAGCAGAATTGATAAATTGTGGAGTAAGGTTTTTTCTAGAAAAAAAAAAAAAAATATTTCTAGTTACGCGTCATGAATTGTTTTGGAAACGTATACGGTTGAAAAAACGTTTCAAACACATCGCTAAAAGCGAATCCATTTTTGTTCAAGAATGATCCAAGTACCAAATATGCCTATATATTACTGGATTACTGGATTGCGAATATAAATTTGATAACATTACATTATCTAATTTAGCATGCGCCATGCAACATTTTGCAAAACGTCACAACAATAAATTGATAGAATATTAACCTGGTGGTTCCTGCTCATCCTCCTCCGCGATATTGTCGAGTTCCGCGTACGCGGATAGTTCTGCTTGACGATTCCGATTTCCTTCTTCTAACGCGGCTAATTCTAAATCAATATCTTGCAGATAACACTAAAATAAATCAAATTAGAATTATTATTATTATTCTCTTAATGTTCTCTAAATAAAGTTTTCGTAATGTTTATTATTAGTATCAATAATAGATAACATCAATCCTGTTTATCATATAGAAATGAAAGTAAAATGCAAATATAAATTCAACTCATTAAGTACCTCGCTAGCTTTCATATTGCTCACTTGAGGGATATTCGTCGAGACGGAATCGTCTACGTCCCTGAGGCCAAGAACGGCTTGATGGAATTCCAGCAAATCGTCTCCGACCAACTTTTGTACGAAGTTGGCCGGCACCAAACCGCGTCTACCATCAAGCGTTTCCGCGTCTAGGAAGCCATCATCGTCGGGCTGACCCCAGACCAAGAGATAATCGCCGCCCTGGACCGGTAGTTCCGCTTCCGGATTCGCGTTCGGCGAATGCTGAAACGGCTCGTAGCTAAAGCGAGCTATGTAAACATAACATCTGCCCTTGCCGGGTACATCCAACATATCCACTTGACCTTCGGATACTATGTCCTCAGTGTTGGTTAGTCGGTCCAGGGGATTCGTCAGTATACTCGTGGGAATTTTCGGCATTTGCCTAGGACCCAGAAAATGGTAGCCGGTCGCGGTACCGGGCGCGGTCGGCGAACTGGCGCGCAAGCTCTGCTGAATCTGTTGAATAATCGCCTGCTGCTGAAGCTGATTTGCCTGTGACTGGGCGGAGAGTTGCTGCATCGCATGTAAAGGATCGCCTATTGCTTGTAACAGGCCTCCCGAACTAGTACCTGCAGAGATACGCGTTTATGAGCAGAATTGCCAACTAACATTAAAATTTATCATATCTACACAAATGTTTTATATTGAAGAGTAAAATATTTAATTTAATAATGTTTTATGATTTATTTTTCTAAAATAAAAAAAAATAAAAGTTAAATCGGTTTTTAGTTTATTAAAAGTATTACACTGGAGAGACTAAATTTTATAATAACGTGTATTAATGTGATTCTGACCTGAGCTTACGCCCGATGTCCCGAAAGCGTTGGTCCCGACAGTAGTGGAGTATGTCGATCCACTGGTAGCGAAAGTGCTCTGACCGGTGGAGAAAGGAAGAACGGACTGAGGTACGCTTGTGAGTCCCCCAAGGGTGGAATGAAAGGACGTGGTGGAATACAGCGGCAGCGATGACAACGTTGTCTGCGTAATGTTCGTCTGCGGCACAGTATAGTTATGATGCGGCAATTGGGTGTTATAGCTGGTCGCACCCGTGCTATACGTTCCATTTGTATGCGAGGCCATGGACAAACTAGGATATGTCGTTGCCTGCGCGAGATAAAAATTAATTGTTGTGAAATTTATAGTCGCCTTAATCTTTTTAACTTTTAATGTTAGATATCATAATAGAATTAAAATTAGATGACTCGTTATAAAAAATCTACAATGTTTGAATCAACATTAACTTATAAATATTAGGATCTATTCTAGAACAGGTATCTCATAAATTGAATACTAAAAATAGTGCTATTCGTTCTATCTATAGGCCTTCATTACTTCGTTTACATGCTTATAAGAAAGTAATCGTAATTGAATAATTGACGACACACCTGTTGACTCCCATTCAATTGATAATTCTGGGCGGTCTGGGCAGGCTGTGTATAGTGAGGTATCACGCTCTGGCTAGCCGATGTCAGGTACGTGGTCGAGGCCGGATGTTGCTGTTGTTGCTGCGGTTGTTGCTGTTGCTGAAGCGGTTGTTGATACGTTTGCGTATGCGGGTAGCTCTCCTGGTACTGATTGCTTGTAAAATGTGAGGTGTGCGTTTGCTGCTGTTTTTGTTGGGATGGTAGAACGCTTTGAGAATGAGAACTCGACATCTCGTGCTGCGACTGTTGCTGGTACTGTTGGATCTTCTGCTGGAAAGCGGGCTGCGACTGACTGCTGGAAAGTGACGGTGCCGGCGGTATTGGTTCACTGTAGTGATATGGTGGTCCATTCGGCGTCAGTGGAGGACAACCAGGCATCATCGGCGTTAATGGCATTGGTGAACCTGCATACTGTTCGAACAAGTTTTATAAATAATTAGCAAAAATATCAGAAAGAGAGGATAGATGAAAAAATTGCTTAAAAAATTATTTTTGTTGATTCATTTTCAACAAGAACAAACTGAGAAAAATTCAAAGTAGAATTTCTCTTAATTTTATAATAAAAATTAGGTAAAAAGATTATGTAGTATTGTACACACAATATTATGTAAGCGAATTACGCACGTGGCTCATCTGGGTAGGCATCCCGAGGTTGAGGGCGTGCGGATGTGGTGGATGCTGATGCTGACCGAGGTTGGGAAGATTTTCCGAGCTGGACCTAAGAATGCCCTGCGTGGCCGAGGGTTGTTGCGTGGTTATCGCGCCCCGCGTGTGGTCCAATTCGTGCAATATTCTGATGGTGCTGGAAATTATTTTTATTAATACAAAATACGTGCGATTCACTTATGTAAATCATACATATAAGTTAAAACAATTAACGCCTTTACAAACACTAGTATTTTGCACAAATTAATACAGTTACATTTAAATTGATAGAGTGTGCTTTCACAATCGATTGCTCTCGATTAAAAGGATCCATCTTGTCAATTCACATACCCTTTATCTTGCTCAATCTTGGCCATGAGTCTATCAATCTCAGATCCGGCCGGCGGCCAAGTGGATGTAGGGACGTTCGTGGACGTGACATGTCCCACGATCGGTCCCCTACTGCGCGCACGTCTTAAACTAGTCAATTCTAGCGATAGTTCCTCGTGCTTCACCATTTGCAATTCGGTCTTCTTTTCGAGCTCTCGGATCTTTGATTGTAACGCCTCAACCGATTCCGGGCCCTGATAGCGTCCTGCTATCTTTTCCCGTAGCTGGTTCTGTGCGTCCGCATGCTGCCTCTCCAGCTCCGCTCGCTGGGCTTCCGTCTCCCGCATTTGCTGAAAAAAAATTGATCATATAATTTGGGTCATAAATAAATTTATCAATATGCGATAGACGGACTATATCCTTTAGCATGTGATTGATGTTACGCAATAGTATATGTCGTTACGTAGACACGACAACGATTTGCTAAGGTTGTACCGATGTCTCTCGATTAATAATAGCTATTCACAGATGATTTACCGTTTTAAATCACGCAGTGACGAGATAAATGTTTATATATTTTTATGAATGCTTACTAAAAAAAATAAAATTTACGATTGTAATTTTATATTACAATACATACTGAAATAGAAGTAATAACTACATTATATGGTGTAGAAAAACCATTAATGTATTTAAATGTAATACTTTAGAGTTTAATATATCTGAGAATTTTATAATAGACTTTAATATAATTTCATAGTTATCCAACGTTTCTTTTAGAGAGAGAATTATAACGGATAAAGAGAAATTGGTTCGATTTTTGTGGTTGCAAGGCTTCGCTTTTAATAACTCGGTGCGACGTGTAGTTGGATACGCGACAAGAATGTCACATTTGTAATGAAAGAGAACTTTTGTGTTCCGATGCCCGAAGGTGCGCTGATCTCGCTATATATAATAATCTAACTGTAGAGATCTTTTGTCAAAAAATGATATAAGAAAAAAGAGGACAATATATATATGTATACCAACGAGGATCACGCTTTCTTCGACATTTCCTCTTTAATACCTTTTTATAATTATTAGCTGGCAATTATGGCACGGCACCGATTGCTTTATAATCTGTAAAATTGCTTATCACTTCGCGAAATTAATTGCTCAATTATCTCGATTGCGGTAGCTTGAACTTCTGTCAGGTCAGTATTAATTTTCCGCGTACAGATTTCAGAGATCCGCTTTGAGGCATGATCGCATACAGGAGACATAAATTTCAGTCGTTAACAAAGTTTAAGCGGTTTGTATTTTATGCACGGCGACGCTGCGAATTAAAGTTCCCTCGAGAACTAGCAATCATTACCGGAACGCATTAATAAAAACTTTTATTTTTCATATTATGTATGCTTTATCAAGTACCGGCGAGAGCCACGCCGAGAGTGAAAGAGAGCTTTTCATGAGCTGCGGTTCATTGTCGATGGTTTACACGTAACTTTCACGTGCACACGTGTGTATGTGTGCGTATTGATTACATGCATATTACCTTTCTACGTAATCTGTTTAATTTCAAGGACTTTCAATTCACTACAAAGCGCACGCACGCGTTTTGCGAATTCATTAATGTCACCACGCGGACAATCTTTAATTTTTAGCAATTACAAAATAATATCCTGCTGCCTTATTAAAAATACTTTTCGCGTAGATTTAAAATAGTTTCTCTCACATAAAAAGTAATACGCAAAAATCTCACCTGAAAAAGTGAAAAAAAACTGTTCTTATAATTAAATATTTTCCATTATCTTAGAAATTGCGTTTAATAAAAAACTAAGTTATTATTAATAATGTATAATTAATAATAATAATATACATATTTTAAAATAAGTATAAAGAAAACGAATTAAATCCACATTGAAAAAGAAATAATGTATCAACAGCATTAAAATAATTGAAAATAATTTTGTTAATTTAATGACATCAAACAAATATGCCATGTTCTTGGTTTAATAAAATTTTATTTGTTTCATTAATATTATTGTTAAATTAACATTATTTTCAATTAACATATTGCTCCAACATCATTCTTTTTCAGTGCACAGATAATAAATTCTTAAAATAAAATTAAAAAGTGGATCGAAAGACATGTTTTGCAAAATTGTTTTTATATTTCAAATGCTCACCTCCAGGATGGATTCGAGAACTGCGTCCTGCATGATGGTTCTCGTGGAGGTGGTAGCCCCGACAGCGGATCCGGTACCGTGCAGCTGCGGAGCCTGAGGTGCCGTGGAAGCGCCACCTCCAACACCACAGCACTGCAACATCCCTGAAGTCTGAGACCCTCGCCAGTCTTTATCGCGGCCGGTCCCTATCGATCTAGCGTGTGTGTCTAGGAGCTATCTTAATTAATTGGGCGGCCTTTGCGCGGCCCGCCGAGCCGCGCCGCGCCGCGCACCGCACGACGAGATTCCACACACACCTAACAGTGCGACTCTATTGCAGTACAAAGTATAGAATTCTTATTTCTCCCGTCACGTGCGTACCCCGCCTCGGGAACGAGCCGGAACTTGTTCTCGTAGCTCTCTCAGGGAAACGGGGGGAGGACTTTGAGTTCTTTCGAAAGGGAACCAGCGTTCTTTCGCATTGGATCAGCTGATTCGTAGTTAGATATAGGGTCATCCTACGAGAAAATGCATGTATGCAAAATATTTTTAATTCGTTAAAAAGTGGCACTCTTGCCACAATTTAATTATATTTTCAAATTTAGGAAATGAGATGAATATTTAATGAGTGAAATTATTGACGTGTTAATTATAAATCTATACGAAATGTGAAAAATGTATGTCGTAGCCAAATATAGCGCGAATTAGATTGCATCGATTCTGGCCCTTCATTTGATAAAGCTCTCAAGCAACCTGATTTTCTTATCTATTTTATTTATGGCCTGTAAACTAGATATCTTTTTGATGCACTATAAGTTCTCTACAGTCTTTTCATTTAACTTGAAGCATTTAAAACAAAAAAAAAATTATTAATTTAAAGTCTCTGTTTATGAATTTAGAATAATAAGAAAACCTTTCTTCAGTTTGATCCTTTCTATGTCAAATAAAGGGGCAGCTTTACAATTTAACTATCGCGCATTAAAGGCTGTTCTGGCCACTAAAACTGCAGGAGTTTCTTGTTAAATGAGAAAGTCAATCGGCGCGATTATTCGGCAACAGGTATTGGTGCGAGGAATTCGATCGAGTTTGTAATCCGCCGGTAGAAATCCTCGCTTCGGTTTGCGACTTTATGGTCGACGATTGCTCGTTGCTGGCATCCACAATGAATCGACCGCGAATATGTACTTTAACATCGACGGCACAGTCAGGGAGTATTAACTACAGCGTGCGAGCATAGCGCTAGCGCGATATTTCGTGTTAACGCGTTGCGTGCGGCCAAGTGCTCGATTGTGGTTTTTGCGCGAAAAAATTGCCGCGATTGAGACTATATATGCACACACATACACACAACACATATACACATGCACAAGCCGCATTTGTCACAGAATCTTATAACGTGTACGTTACAACGAGTGACACGTGCCTTATCCCAAGCAAGCTTCAGTTAGCGATTTACGCGCATCGCGGAGTTTCACGCCCTCTCGTCCCGTTATCTCTGCGTTTATGCACCCAGATAAAAGTGCACGCGACTAACTTTCCCCACTTTCTTTCTTGCCTTCTATCTTCAATCACCAAAGATCAAACGTGGCTTTTTTTTTACTGTGATATTTAGTTCATCGGTCATCGATGCTTGACGTATAAATCCGGAAGCGAAAAGTACAAATTGGTCCTGCAAAAGAATGGAGGAAGAACTTTTTACTTAATTTCTCGTTAAAGTCTAGTTAGAGAAATGTATAATAGTTGGAGGAATGGAGAAATGTATCAGAATAGATATACTAAATCGATATAAAAAGAGTTAGTATGTGAGAAAAGTTAAATCATCTACAGGTCTAGACATTTTTTTATCAATAGCATTAAACGCGATAATTGACGTAAGAGTGTGCGTTGTAAAAATCACTCGCGTACACTGTATAATTGACAATGAAGTGCAAAAGAGAAAACATCTAGACACAGGCCTCTCATTTTCCTTTTCTTTCATCGCCTTCCTATTAACGCGATTTAATGGCAACTCTCTCGCGTACGCTTCCATCCTCTGATACTATTTAATTGCTGTGCATGCTCTCGCTCTTTGTTTCTCTTTCTCCCGACACTAACGAACACAGAGAAAGCGACGATCAGGAAATTATCCGCTTTTCTGCTACACAAGTTCATGAACGCGTTGACGAACAATCAGCGTTGCTGTTACAATGTAACATAAGAGGAACAAAATGCGATAAAACAAGCTACGATACGACTCGAAGAATCGATATATAGTATCTCGAAATAACCGAGTAGTAAAAACAGAACATTCTTGCGCGTGCAGAACTAAAAAAATATATAAAATTAAAAAAAAATGATCAGAATAAGTGCGTATATATATTATGCGAATGTTTGCGATTACGACTGAATGCACAATGCCGCGAGAAGAAATATCCGATCCCTTTATCCACGCATCTTTCGACCCCTCTATCCACGCATTGCGAGTTTAATATCAGACTCCTATATTAGTGCCGAATTATCGATTTTATTCTGCCACACGCGGTTCACCTCTCGCGGCTTAGGTAAATACATCTTATCGCTGTTACTTTGTAGCTACTTTGTTGTTCACAGTATGGAAGTCTTTTCGCTCGTCAACTTTTTGATTGTCGACATTGGAGCGATCGTTGAACATAAATCGATTGAGACTGATTGAACAATAAATAACTTGCTAACATCAAGTCTAAATAACGGAATTATATAAATATCATGAATAGAAAAAACATATTTAAAAAAAAAAGATTTTAGAGATTGAAAAGAGATTTTATAGCGAAACTTGTAAAAGAAATAATCTGTTATTAGTTATTCTTTATACCTATTACAATATCTAACATTCAAAAATTTATTCTTTACATTTGTAAGGCAATTCGTTTTACAAAAATGTAAAAAACTTTTACACAATTCTTTTGCAGAATAAATCATCAATTATATGACAATTCCAGATTATTTCGAATTAAAACGAGAATTTTTTTCGCGACGAGTTCTTGTTTAATACTTTTAATTGCTTAGTTCAATAACGAAAAGTATGTCGTTATGAAAAATCGATATCATAAAATTTCGTAGGTCTGATAACACGGAGAATGAAACTATAGAAATAGGTAAAGACAATATCGTTGCAACAAAATGTGTTACACCTGAAGATGTAAATGAAAAGAAATTTGCACTGTACGAGAGAAGACGATGAGCGAACGAAGAAGTACAAAGTAAGATAGCGAAGGTGACGGCAAGAAATCCTACCGTGTGCTCGCTGGTAACTATTCGATCCTAGATGCGAACAAGAAGTGCTACCAAGTACTACGTGAATGAGCAATATCGAGGAATACCTCGATGGCGGACGAGATAACGATTGATACACGGAGATAAACGGGTGGAAAAGGGTACTTTCGGCCGAAATCTGAACGTAAAGGAGTTTAAAGAAGTCTCATTTAATCGCCCTTCAAAGGAGAGGCAGGGAGAAACGGAGATAGAGAGAAAAGGAAAAAGATTCCGATAAAACACTGCACTTCCGGTCACTGAAAGCCAGCCCTCGGTGATGACTCGGAAGGCTGTCCATCTCTGAAACACACTTTGGCACTTTGACGTTCGACGTGCGACACCGAGTCAAGCCTCGTGCAACGAAATTGGACAGTCAAGACAACGTCAAGGGAAACGGCGATAGTGATGGGGTTGAAAGAAAGGCGCGCGATCAGACTGGGGAATAAGGAACATCAAACACGGAACGACCTTCTCGGCAGGGGCACGACATGAGTAGCCACGGCACTGCTTATTGATCTCACTAAAGGGCGAAAGGTACGTAGTGTACATGTGCACCCGGTGCGCACCGGACACCACTGCACGGCGAGCACGTAGTGCAACCACTATCGCGAGCAACGTTGGTGACGGCAGCGACGGTGGTGGTGGTGGTGGTGGTGGCGGCGACGGCGGTGGTGGCAGCGACACCACTGACACTCCACGATTATTATCCGCCATACTGGTCCGTCGTCCCGGTGCCGCCTGCCGCTGCTACCATCGTCGTCGCTGCCACCCTTATCCCCATCACTAACACTCTTCCACAACGAACTGTCACTGTAAACTTCGACACGTTGAGCTTGTGGATTGACTAGATTAGATAGATAAAAGATTCACTCCCGCGGGAATGTCTCGCGCGAGTTATACGTTTTGGCAGGTGCCGCCTGCGACACTCCGCATTTGTGACACTCACTCGCTCATTGCCTCCTTTCGGTGTCTCGAAAATGTCAGACCGGTGTCGATTAATCGGATTCACTCCCGTTCGCACTCTTCATGCACTCCTCTCTGTCACTCGTTATATTCTCTCGCTCTCACCCTCTCTCTCTCTCTCTCTCTCTCTCCCTTATGTTCACTCTCACCCTTGCACCTGATTCACACCAGCTTCCGCTCTACCTCCTCGTTGACGCGACACTTACGATGACCGAATCGAAGGGATTGTGGCAGGCCAGGGCTGCTGCTGCTGATGAGCGAACTCTCCTCGGTACCTGCCAAGCTTTTTCACTTGGCTATCATCCCGTACAACCCCCAAGATCTGCTCGGCCGTGGAAGGCAGGCAGGGCTGCTGGAGTCGGGGGTAGGGGGTGATGCTTGGTGGTCGCTCGCTGATGTCGGGGGAAGGGGGTAACGAGTGGGGGTACAACGGCCCGTGTGGGGTGGAGGTGTACTACCCCCCCTTATGGAATACAAGGAATGGTAAGCGAACGGGGGTGGCCTCGAGGAGAGGGCAGACGCGCACGCCAGGATGCGAGAAGCGTCGAAGGGGCGGTTGGAAAGGCGACGGGGGTGTTGGGAGGGCGAGGGCAGAGGCTCCCGTCACCGCTAGATATGGGTCACTTGGCGATCGATGCCGATATAGAGTCGCTGTATCGTCGGAGTCCGTTGCACGATCTTCCCTTACATCACTTCTCGCTCGCTTTCGTCGACCTGGGGGAATGGAAAGTGGTCACCCCTTCCTCTCGCCGCTGCGCTGGGACGCGCATCGTCGTCGGCTCGATCGCTCGCCGGCGTGTTTGCGCGCTCACGACATTATCATCGGCGACGGGGAGCGACCGGCCGCGATGATTCGCGCGCGATGTTAAAGGGGTTCGATCGACCGTGCCAAACATGGCGGCACCGCCACCCTGGTGGCCGATACCCTG